AGCACAGTATTCTCCATGATAACATTTATTTTGAATAGAGATGGAAGAACTACCAACCACAGAGGAACATTGGCCTGGAAGTACGTTTGACTGGAAGACTATTAACAATGTGGTTAAATCTGAAACCGGGCAGAGATTTACGTGGTTATTTTGTATTAAAAACTCACTATGGTCCAACATGCTAATGCTTTCCAGCAAACGGGTAGAACTGAGAGCAACTCCGGGTCAGTCTAGGACAACATTCCCCCATTCCAGCAATACAGGAGGAAAACTACGACTACAGCTCATAACCAGAGCATACACTAAGTGGTTGTTTTGGTCACTTTAGCAGCATGCATCTACTAAAACCTCCAATATAAATACAGAAGATATTTTCAGAGCTTGGGATTGTTTGGTTTCTTTGTCCACTACAAAATTTGGAAATATGTGTCACCATATTTCATTATAGCATCTGTAATATTTTCATCTTTTCCCTGTATATCAACAGAATAAGAACAAGTTCCCACAACCCATAATTGTAAAATATTAGCTACTTACTTGGGATAGTTGTCACTTATCAACTCCAGTGAATAAATCTCAGCGCAGGCTTGCTTCTGAATGCCAATTTCTGTGAAGAAACATTTAAATTTTGACTACAAAAAACTACTGAACATTATTATATAAAAGTGTGTAAAAACTAAAAAGACAAAAAAATAAAATAAAATCATACCATTAATAATACCAAACTTTTTCGTTTTTTGTCGTTTTGTATAACATTTCAAAATATTAAAATTACCCTGAATTTTTTGTAAAATTTCATTTTAAAATTCTACCATTAATTCTACCATTATTGGTGCATTGTTATAAATAATTATTTGTTTATAACATGCATGCTGTGCAAACATACACAGAATATAATAATATATAAAATAACAATGGAAAAAAATATATATATCATTTTTAATATTTTTTAAATATATATTTTTGTTATTATATTACTAATGTGAGTGTGTGTATGTATTATATATACATATATATATATATATATATATATATATATATATATATAATACATACACACACTCACATTAGTAATATAATAACAAAAATATATATTTAAAAAATATTAAAAATGTAATATTAAATAAATTGCATATATTTATATTACATATACATATATTATACTTAAAATCTATTACATAAACAGCAATTTTGGATTATACAAATTTTCCATACATTAAACATGCAATTTGCCATAAACTGACATGTTTGTAAATACAAAAGACTCTATGCAAGTAATATATGATGATAAAAACTCTACTACTGAATATTACTAAGATATAATAATTGGGACAACTAGCCCTGGTTCCCCTTATGGCCTATGTACATTAGCAGCTAAAGTATTCAAGCCAAAAAAAGACAAACCACTCATTGCCAATAACTGTGTTTGTCATGCAAGAGTTTCACTGCGCCACTTTTTCCTGCCGTCTTCCTTTTTAAGAGCATTCTGGGATTATTAACACAGAGTACAGCGTGAAAGTGTGACCCAAGCATTCCTTTTTGCTCTTTCTCTCACATTCAACAAGACTTTCAGGCCAACAGCACCATTAAAGCACTGGGGCAGATGTGGCTCCATTGTTTTGAGCCGGGGGAGAGGGAGGGCTTTCTGTAGCTGTCTGGTTTTGAAAGCGTGCCGGGTTACAGCAGCGCAGACGCCGTGGCGGAGCTCCAGAGGTAAATGGAAAACCACAGTCTCCGGTCCACACAAGTGCAGCATGAGTCACCGGAAGGAGCCGCGCACTTGCAGAACTCATTAAGGGAAATGCCAGGCATATGGATTTCCTATGTCAATAAAGAGCGCTTGGCTGGCATGCAACCCCCCCAGGTGAATCCTGGAGGACTAACGCACGCGGCAGCAGAGAAAACATCTAAACTTGCATCTTTAGCATGAAGGAACATGAGGGAGGGGGGTTTGTCCAGATCAAATTAATGCACAGGATCAAATGTTACTGTGCAAAGGCCAGACGTGCATACCAAACTCTGGTCCAGTTTCCATGGCCTCCTTCCAGTTAATCTGCATGCAACAGCGCCATCTAGTGGACATGAACTAATATCCTCCTGAGAACCTGAAAAAAAAACAAGTTTTGTGAATTGTTGTTTTTGTCATTATATTGGTTGGAGCATAAGAAACAAATGGAGAAAAAAACATTTTTGAAACAAGATATTTTATTCTATGTCCTTTGTAGAGGACAAGGCATGTATAGGTTTTATTTTATCATTCACTAATCAGTTTTTAAGTTTCAAGCTATTTTAGCCAAACTTTGTACAAAGACGATTCACAACTATGTTATGTAAGATATAACAGAATGATCTGATATAAATGTCCATAAATTGGTATTCTCATTTTATACAATGTATCTTTACATTGCATCTAATTTGCATATCAATGTGTTCTTGGGGCAAACCATAATGAAAAAATAAGCAGAATAATGGAAGAAATAACTTCTATAAGATACTTTTATATGAATATCTCATATTTCATAGGAATATTGATCTATAATTGTTTTTCCCCTATTGACTCGTGTTTCTCCAAAATGCATGATTAACATGATGTTTGTCTTGGTGTCCTCTACAGAAAACATGTATGAAAATGATGCCCCGTTTCATAACGAAAAGTCATATTCCGATTTGAAACCCCACAATATGTTTATTCACGACAAACAATTTGAAAATTAGCCCGATTTAAATGATAATTACAAAACATTATCATATTTCCCTAAGAGTGCTAAATTTGATAATTCTGTCAATTTCAGTCATAATTAAAGACTAAGGAGAAGGTGCGTTTATGATCAAACCCCCAAACATTTGATATCTCTAAAAAGCCTTGAATGTGCTCTGTACAGGACCAGACTTAAAACTGTGGCATGTACGGTCTCAGAGAAATTCACTAAAATATAATGAAAAAAGAAAAAATGAAATACTAATATATATATACAGAGGTTGTATTAAATACAAAACATATTTAAAGTGATTTTTAAGGTGTTTAAAAGTCTGTGTGAATATATATATATATATATATATATATATATATATATATATATATATATATATGTGTGTGTGTGTGTGTGTGTGTGTGTGTGTGTGTATATATATAACTATTATTATTATTATTATTAATTCAAAAATCCATTTTTTTTTTCAAAATTCCAGAATAATAGTATGCTGTTCCTAACACAGCTTTAATCTGTAAAAAAAACTGTATTGTTAATATTAAATAGCTAATAGCTTTACATATCATCTGAAGATGTGTTTAAACCGTGGCTACATGTGCGATATAATTTTGCAAGATTCAGTTCTGAGCCCATTCATTTACAGCAGAGATTTACTGCCAGCAGCTCTGTAATAAAACTGAAAACTATGCTTGTTGGGCTTCATCTATATTTATCTCTGTCCATCTGTGAACACGAGTCTCGAGGCTGGTGTTTCAGATTGTATTGGAAGGCTGCACAAATCTCTACACACCTGCACTGGTACGGTCTGAGAAATATAGAAAAGATAACTGCTCACGGGTCTTTTCTCCCCCAAAATGCATGCAGATTGTATCTGCAGACCGCCTTGTATACATTCACAGGTTAAAATAGTAAGCGTGGGTTACCCATGAACTCAGTTGCCCTTTAGTATTTTAAGGTCACAAGCCACAGGGACAGAGTAAGTGGGCAGCTGTCTACAGTGTGAGCAATATTTTTCCACCACTGACATGTCTTTAGAAGTCTGACAAAAAAAACTGTAGTGCAAGTTATGTAGAATTGTTATGTATCCAATCTTAAAATATAAAACAACACTGTACTGACTGGAGTGATACAGCTTTCATTTGAGAAAAAAATAGTGCTTAATTCATGCATGTTTATATATATAAGGGGGGTCAGAGAAATCTCACCTAACCATACAAAACACAAACAAACGAATAAAAAACAAAGAAAAGTTAATAAAAGAGAACTTTAAACAATGTAAAAAAAATCAGTATGTACTTGTAGAGTTTTACACTTTATTTACATTAATAAATAAAGTGTATTATTATTATTACACAGAATTTGTGAATTAAAAATACACCAGATCTGGTCAGGAATCAAGATAATCTTTTACAGATGAACTCAATTTCCCATGATGCCTTCGGCTTTAATGGTGCGCGTTCTACCGGAAATACTCTTGTTGTGCCCGTGGATTTGATTTGTACAGGGCTGCCGTTTTACTGGCCTTACGGTAAGAAATCTCCAGCCTTGCTATGCAAACCCTCCTTTCACTGCATGTCACAGATGGACATTAAACATGTGTTCTATTCACGTGTAGTTCGCTCTTAAGTTACATTAGCACAGAAATCGCTCATCTGAATACAAAGCTAATGATGCTAACTGCTTTAGCGTCTCCTTTTATTTTCTTTCCTTTCTCCGGTTGGTTTTTGCACCAAAGCAGTTAAATGAACTCGTATAAAGAATTATGCAAATAAAAGACATTTGAATGGGACTGTAAACTATTGGTTTATTTTGGGCCGTTACCATAATTAGCAAAGCTAAAGTTTAGCGTGTACAATAAATGGCTTAACATTTATGTAGATAATAAAGCTTTAGTACAGAAATACAGTGGTTATAATAATTTACTAATTATAAAACAAACTCAAAGTGAGTTCTAAGTCTAAGTGTTCTTTTATCATAATATTAACAACCAGTTTGATCAAATTTGTCACAGTAAATACATTTATTACTGTGTGTGTGTAATATATCATATATATATATATATATATATATACACACACACACACACAGTAT